CGTCCGAATATCCTCCAGAAGGTAAGCAGTGCTGCCTTGCCTGTCTAGGGCACTTGCAAAAATAATTACTTGTCCTCAAGATGTGACATCAACTCAAATTTGAGCTGTTAGATTGACATTTTCTTTCACTCCTGACGTTACAAGTTAGTGGGTTAGTCTCTATCCTCTCCTTCCAAGTTTTTCCTCTAACTAGAAAGGCTAAAAATAAATTTCAGAAGGCCAGCTGAAAAACAGTTTAATGTGGTCATTGTTCCAGGTGCTGAGTCTAAGGAGAGTAGATAATACTGTAAGACTTCTAGATGTAATTATGTCACTTGGAAAGCAGTTGGGACATTTATGCCATGCTAACTCAAAATCTGATCAGTTAGTGCTTTACATCTGCAAAATAAACCTCTCACCAGCTAGACTTCATTAGTTAGATATTTCTGGCTTGCTTAGGGGTCATTTGAGCCATGATTTTTCAAGTAGTCCTTTTGCAGAAGAGCTCCTACTTCAAATGTTTGTTTTAATGCTGTGAGTAAATAGCTATTCATTTGATTTGCTTAGAAGTAGATAATATCTTGACTTTGATGTGGCCAGTAGCAACAACTCCTCAGGAATTCTGTTGGAGTGAAGTGTAATCCACATTAGGCAACTTCTCTCCAAAGTGCTGGTTTAAAAAAGTGCTAAGTGACTTGCTGTAAGATGTCAGAATGTTTGGTCATCCCACCTTTCCTGGAGAGGGACTGGCTGACCTAACCCTCCTTACCCTTCAGACCGGAGAGTTTTTACTGGAACTTACAGTGACAAAGGGAGAATGTCAAACAGACTTTTGATCTACATATATGCAGTTTCCCTGAATCTTTGTAATTCAGGTGTCCCTTCATTGCACTCGTTTCCCTAAAACTGTCATTGTGGGGATAGTTACTGTCCGCTGTAGGCAGGATTCTGAGGAGCGAAGATCTGAACTTCATCACTGCAGTACTCAATGGAAAGAGGTATGTAATGCAGAGCATCTGAAGTTGTGGTCTATTTGCTTGTTTCTAGAGTGCACTTGCAAAGCTGACTAGCTTTATTGGAGCTGAACAAATCCTTAGAAATTAAGGTAACAAACACTTTGCTGCAGTATTCACGATTTTACAAAGATGTTACATTTGTAGCTTTTTGTTCTAAAATGTTTTGTGCATATGATTTTAATGGCATTAAGATACATCACTTCAGGAAGGTGTTTTTCTGTTGTGCTGTTGGGTTTTGATTCCTCACCCAGTGGCACATTCAGAGAAGTCAGATTGGTGCTTTGGGTGAATTCTGGTGCTTCTGGCCATCCCCAGTACCTGTGACAGGAAACATCCATTGCATCTTTTAGGTCCAGCGCTCCTGTGCTCACGAGTTCCTCGCCTTAAAGTGTTTTTTAATTGCGCCTAAAAACCTGCATAACTTTGCTGGCTGCATTTATCCCAGAGTAAGTTTCCTGCTGGAGTTCTGCAAGGACAGTAAATCTTAGAGGTCATGAGAGCCAGTCTATTGAGTTAGCAACATTTGTACTGAAGATGATCAATATTTCATCTACTTTGAAATTCTCGCTTAAAACAGCAGTGCTACCAAATGGTTCAGTAGGTTTTGTTCACTTACAGCCTGTACAGTTGTTGATCTATGAAGAGATTTATGCACCTTGCATTCAACAAGGAATGAAGATTTTCAGATGAATAATTTGGAGCTTATACTTGATTTATTTAATACTGATTCTGCACTAAAAAAAGATACTTCTTCACCAGAAATTAGTTGAGGAAAAAATGGGAAGTACTACATTAGGTTGATGTTGGAGGAAATGGTATATATATGTCACTGACATCTGAGCAAAGAATTGGGCTGAGAGATGCCTCTATTTGGTAGCATTAGCAACAAAGCAAGAGGATAACTGGAACCAGTGAAACAAAATAAGTCTGCTCCAAAGAAGGTGAGGTGTATGGAGAGCTTTTAGGTTTCTCCATATATTTCTCTTTGATACCAAAGATTATTTTAATTAATGTTTTCTATGTCAGATATATTTTGATTATTGAGGTAAGATGGTGCTGCCAGCTTGACTTGAAACGTTTCTTTTTATACGATGTGAGCTGTTCATGATGCAGTTTTGTCAGACTCTAAAGTCTCCTTCTATTCTGTCTCTCCCAGCCTGGTGCCATAAATAGAAACCTATTCCTTGCCCATCCCAAGTTCTTGGCTTGGAGCCATATTTCTTGGCTTTAGTCAGTGGGCTGTTTACAGTACTTAAACCTTGCACCACAATGTGGGAGGCCCAAAGACTCGATGGATCTGTGCTTAGTTCAAGCAAACCACCTTATTAAGAGTCTGCTTGCTTGCTGGAGAGGAACACCTAGGAATGGCATTTAGTTAGGCTGCCTGCATTTTACCAAAGCCATATGTGAGCTGTCTAACCCCTTTAAACTGGTGTTTTTCATGGCCACATGTACGTTAGCAGAAAGACTAGGTGGTCCACTTAGGTAAGGGATGGAGTCTGTTACAGGGTAAGGAAAGTTCATAGGTCTGCTTCTATGCTACCACATTATTAGACAGCAGGAACTTGGCCTGTTTAGCATCGGTTTGCTTTTTAGTATGTACTTTGCCATGAGTATTTTTGGTTAGTAGGAAGTGCTGAGACTTGGCTTCAGAAACAAACTACTGTAGAACTTGATACTATTCCGGTCATGTCAGCAAAACAGGGAACCCACTTGCTGCTGCTGTGTTACCAGTTTTGTTTCCTCTTATTCATTAAGGCAGGAATCCTCCCACTAACAAGATTAAAGATCTTGAAGTCTAGTGATGTAAAGTGATGTACATTTTGAAGATGCAGTGGAAAGTAGAAGTTATGCTAATGGTTGTTAGTTACTGGATGGCCTGTTTTCTATGCTCCAAGTTGATCAAAGTGTGTTCTTTGGTAGGTTTAAATGCAAGTATATAAAACGAGTCTGCATGTAAAATAGTGCATTGATATTTATATTGGCATTTAGTTTGAGAACTCAAAGTGAAAAAAGTGAAAGAAGTGGCATATGCAGAGATCTTGGTGGCCTTGTATGCATGTGTCCCTTTGTGAAGGGAGACATGAGAGAAGCCAGAAGATAGAACACCATATGTTGTCTATATAATGTACAAACACATATACATACAGCCTATGGGTTTTGCAGCAAAATGAAAGGTAACAGATTGAGATTGTATGCAATAACTAGTATTTACCCTATAACCCTTTCTTTGTCTCTTCCTTCCATTGACAAACCAGTCACTTTGGCCTGCTGCCAATACCAAGTACATTTCAGGGCAGTATTTTCATTTACATGTTTTAGGGACACTGGCAGTTGGTTCAGAAATTCAAAATATAGCAAGTCTTTTTAGGAGCTTCCTGAGCTATACATCTCAAAGTAGCTTAGTCAGTAAGATTTCCTTTTATTCAACTTTTTCCCATTGCTGGAAGAACTAGAGAAATGCTTCTAAATGGATGACTTAAGTTGTACAGGAAGGGTAGCCACTCTTGGGAAACAGTTTTGAAGAGCACCAAAGGGAATAGTCTAAAAAGCTGGGAAGAGCTGCTGTGCCTGAAAGGTGGATTCTTTCACCGAGAAAGTTGAATATACCAGAATTAAGATTTTATATTGTGCACTTCCTGTGAAGGGAATAGAATAGGATGCAGATGTGGTGGATGGAGATGTCGAACTGATGGACTATAGGGTAGAGTAACTATCTAGGAAAATCAGTTGTAAAAGAAATAATGCTCATCTAGAAGGTAGAAAGATGCCCAAGTTTATTCTGCTTGGGTTTATTTGACAGGACCTTATCAACTGCTTCACACTGTGCAGCAACATTCTGTGTCCTTACCACTGAGAAACACCTTCAGGAGGGTGGCTGGAAGGGTGCAGGCGTAGAATTGCCGTGTAACAGGAAGCTTACAGCCCAAGTGTTACTTATCCATAAGGCCAGTGCTGGCCACTGCTTGACTTCCCATCAGGGGCTCATTAACAGATCAGCCAGCCAATAAGCTTTGGCTAAGGATGCTCTTCTGCCAAAGGCTAAAACTGATAGTCAGTAGATACCTTTGCAAGTTATATTATTAATCCATCCTATCTTTCTACTAGTTCTTGTGTGTTCCAAATACCAATTACTCATCTGTTGTATTTTAACTAACAAGTAAATTTGTTATTTTAACTAAGGTAATTAACTGTAACAGCTAAGAGTAATTTAGCCACAAATCCATACATAGCTTGCCATTTTCTGGTACCATATCGGAAGCGTGTTACAAAACTCATGCACATGTTTCTGAGGCTGTGCTGTCGTTCTCTACAAATCGTGCTTATTCTTTGTGTATTAACGGATGCACTAAGGTTGGTACAAATAACAATGTAATGAAGAATATTTAGAGCAAATAAGAATGGAGAAAACAGTAAAACAAAGAGGCAGAAACACAGAGCAAAAGAAATAAAGCCTAGGAGCTCTTACGTAAAGGCATTGCAACCTCTGGCTGCTAGGTAGCATGCTGCAGGATTTACTGAGCTTGGTTTTGGATAAGGAAGAAAAAAGGTCACTCAGTTGTCAGAACTTCACAAAGACAGCACTACGGAGGTAGTCAGCCTAAGTTATTTTCTTTTTCTGGTTACTTTTTCCACATACATTAGGGGTTGGTGGTAGGGGACATAACTTACGTCACAGGCCATACAGGTGAAAGCAGTTCCCCTTCACCACAGGATACCCATGGTTTTATTATAGTGTTTTTCAACAGCCTTACAAAATACAAGTATTTGGAATAAGTCAGGTTGCTCATTTCTTACCTTCAGCCTGATGAGTCCTCATCACATGGTGCAGCTGCCTTTCTCACAGAGCAGTGGAGTTAATGGATTGTAGAAATGCTGTTTGGTTTTGGTCTTCCCCCTTGGTAAGCTTTGACAGCTCCTCTCTCCTCCCCACAACAACCCAACCATTGGGTTCCCTCTCCCTCCTCCCTTTATATACCACACTGCAGGCCTACCACCATCTCAGGTGTGAGAGTGCCATGGTGATTTCTTGTCTTTAACCCTTCCTTGTCCCACATGTTAGGAGGAGCCTGTCCTGGTATAAGCCATACAGTACAGCCTTTCAAAAGCGCTACAGCTTTTGAAGAATTCATCCAACACATCTTACGGTTTTTGAGAGGTAAATTTGATGGTGCCCTTTTAAAGAGTTCCTGACTCTTAGTAGTCAGCAAATATACAGCTCCCATTGGGTGTACTGTACTGCCCTTGCTTTCTCTTTCTTTCTGAAATCCTGAAATGCTCAAGAGTGTTTACTTGCTCAGTGCTTGTACATCTCTTAGACATATATATTTTCACTAACGCCATTTCCTGTTGATTCATCTAAGTAATGCTCCAGCAACGGTATGTGGGATGGAAAAATGAATCAATCTGGGCAGTCTCCTTAATGGGTGATTTGTTTTGTAATTTGTACAAAGGAATTTCTCCAAGGAAACTGTTTGCTTTCTTCCCAAACACTTTGTTGCCTAACTCTGATCGGAACAAAACTCTGTCTTTATAGCACATCTCAAAATTGTTTCAACTTGCAGTCCAGTCCCCACATCCTCTTGTTTGTTCAGCGTTCCCTGGGAAGCTCCACCCTCACTTCCAGCTGATAACTAGGTTAGCCCACAGCCTGATTTCCCAGTTTCTCCTTTGCCCGCTCGGCAGCGCTTGTTTTTTCATTGGCCACCAGCCTTACAAGCAGGGATTGACTGCACGTGGTGGCATTTGTGCTGGCAGTGGCAGTCCAGGACTTCTTGTGTCAAGCAGCCTCATCTGCTTGCTGTGAAGCACAGCATGATTGTGGGGACAGTCCTCTTCCAGTCTAGCAGCTATGGCAAAGAAGGCAAGCTGCTCTGCTGCCTTAGCAAGGAAGCCTCTGAGCCTGGCGTGAATTTCACAGGTATGATGTTCAGGAATGTAATGCTGTGCTGTCCCTTTCCTGTATTTCTCCAGGTGTTTCAAGGAGGATATGGGTCTTCTCAAATCTACCTTTGTCTTGTAGTATGAGACCAGCCACAGGCAGGACTGAGATTGCCTGGTTTTATATGGGTTTTGGGATTATTGAGATGCTTCATTTTTATGAGCAGTTACACAGTTGGTATTTCAGAAATAGAGACCACTTCAGCCATAATATGACTCTAGAATTAAAGGTTTAGCGTACACTACATCCTGCTCCTGGGCTGAACAGAATAGTAATTGCAGTGTTGGCAGCACAGAGTAGGGGACAAAACACCCCTTACATATTGGCTGAATAGGAAAAGCCTTCATATCCGGATGGAAGCAAATTGTATTGTGGGAACAAAGAAAAGGAAGGAGGTGGATGAAGCATAACCTCCTTGCATGGCCATGTATTACTCGTGCACTAAATGATGATGTAAGTTTTCCATTGTATAGGAAACGAAAGTGTTAGTATATGATTTATGGTTAGCCTTTAAAAGGAGCTGATATAAAACAACTTCCCAGCTCATTTCCGTACTCTTGGTGTGGATAGAGCTTGCAGACTATTCAACTGGAAGAGAATCACTTATGATAGGATTTTGTGATCTAGTTTCCTTAATGAGGTTTATGTGACCATCATGTTTCACTGACTTTCCATAACCTGACATACTGAATGGTATAGATCCACACTGTATTGAGCAGCATAGGTTATTGTGTACTAATAGCCTGCAATAGGTACAGTAAAGTCCTAAAGACTTGGTAAAGTCCCCTTTAGTAGCTGTTGGGTAACCTTTACAGTTACTTAAGCATCCAAGTCACTCTAAGGTGAAAGTGAAGGAAGTTGGTGAGACATGCATTGAACTCTTAAAAGCATTTGCTTTTTAGGTAATGTGATTTTTAGGTAAGTACTGTAGCTAAGTGATTGAAGCTCTTCATCAAACATTAACTTCTGCTGGCTTTTTCTGTGCGTAAAGTGGGTGTTAAGAACGTGTGCCAGCCTCCCAGGCATTCCCGAGGAAGTGGTAGTAGTCCCACACCTGCTTTGAATCTTTGCTAGCAATCCAGCACAGCCCCACAGTGGTTTCATGTGAGCAGAGCTGCTCAGTGCTGAGCAGCAGGTGGCATTCTGCTGGTTTTGCCTTGGCTGGAGTGCCCCCTGGGGGGCTCAGCATGGGCATGCGTAGGTGGTCATGGGATTCACTGCAGCAGCTCTGAAGCTAAGTTGATACTGGGCCTCTTCAGGCTTACCTATCGAGTACATCATTACATGCTCAACTCTGTGCTGTCTGTTGAGTAGGGGTTGGATGCTTAGTTCATGAACTTTTCTGGCTTGAGAAAGATACTTAACATATGTTTTGATTTAGAATAAATACATATATTTCTATTTAAAACCTTTCGCATTTCAGCAGATACATAATTGAAAGTAAGAAGTTATTTAAACATCATTAAGATATTTTGGAGCTGAAAGGTCGGATATTTTTTGGAAACATTGCCTACTTTTGTGTTTGCTCCTTGGCAGAGATGCAGAAGTCAGATTTCTTGTATAGCACATTTGCTATAAAATAAAAATTAAATTTGTATTTTTGTTCCATAAAGAGAGCTGTATTTAGGAACTAGTGTTCTTTCCTGGTGCTTAACAACTGGACATGTATATGCACATACTCAGTCCTAAAAAATTACAGGGGGATGTTGGCAGCTATACTGTAATGTAGGCATTGGATTTCCTCTTTCCTCCATGGTAAAGCGAGTATGAATGGTTTAGTATATTGTAAAATTAATTGCAGTTGATAGTTAGGAATAGGAAACGTATGTCAACATCGCATCTGCAAACAGCGAAATCAAAGAAGTGACATTTTGGTAGTCACTTCTGTGCTTGCTAGGAAAACCCTGATAAGCGGGCTACTTTCTCAGGTTTCAGAAGGTAGGTTATTAAGTAATTGCAAGTTGAGCAGGTTATACGAGCAGTTTAACCCTGAAGAATTACCAGAAATACTGTCAAAAGCCTTAGCTTTTGACACACACTTAGCTATGTGTTTAAAAACAAAACTGAACAAACCTCAACCATATACTTTCTCATGTACCTACAATATGAAAACCCCCTATGTCCTCATTTTCCAGGCTTGAGCTCTGTCCTGTGACACAGATTTGGCATATGTTTGCCTATTACTTGGCACAGGCCTCTTCCTGTTTTGTGTCTCGCTGACTTCCCAGTTTTCCCGTCCTGTATTACATTTGAGTTCTTTGTTCTCTTTTAAAGTGTATTATAGACTCACTCTTGCTCATGAATGTAAATCTCATGGGAGTGTGGGGAAGGGATAGTCATATGCACGCGTTCTTTGGCAGTGGTCTGCTTAAAAACATCCTAAGCCTTACTTCTCAGCCCCTCAGAAATGGGTCATAGCAATGCTTGTAAAGCAAAGAAGGCCTCAGGTTTTTTAAAGACGACTTTTCATGTCTGGTGCTTTTAATGAAATCTCTTTACCGTGTACATTTCCAGAATTAAGTTCAACAAGAGAATTTGGAAATATATATTGGGACAGGAATTTGGTGTCAGTTCTGCCATCAGAGAAAATATTTGTATCTTTATTTTACATCTTCTTATTTTTTGCCCCCTAGAGCAGCCCATATGCATTAAACCTCATCATTGCTCTTTTCTCATATCTTAGTATTGAGAGCAAACCCGCTCTCTGGGTTCGAAAGCCAGTGATGGTCTTGGCATAGTGCTTGCATGAAGAGTTCAGACAGTTTTGCTTTTTACTACTGTTCTTTCCAAAACCTGTGCATTTACATTGTTTTCATCATCACAGGAAATGTGGGGACTTTTGTCTATAAACAAGCCTGATTCCTCCCCCCACTCCCTTGAACTATCAAGTTTGTATCAGTTGTCCTTTGAGTCAGCAAAACAGAGCTGCCTGGAAATTCAGAAACACTACTGCTGCATATCTGGCATCACTTTTACTACTTTCTGTCCTTGTCAGTTTTCCACCTCTTATTTACACAGTCTTGAAATGTATTGCAAATCACCAACATTCTTGTCAATACTGCATCAGTTACTGTCCTAACCTGTAGATCTCATTTGTGTCATCATTCAGTCTGTCTTGGCTGTATTTATGATGTTGGCTTCAGATCGAGGCTATTTCAGCCACAGAAACAATAAAAACATAAACCACAATATTTCAGCATCAGAAGGTTTCTTTCACTGCTTCACATAATAAAAAAAGTACTTTTTATTTATCACCCATTTTTTATCTATAAATGTTTAAATCCTTTCAAATAGAAGTGTATATAAATGGAATATATATAATACAATAAATACTAAATAGAAATTTTATATACACAGCTTGGTACTTGGTATCTAGGCAATTAATCACCTTCTCCAGCCCGTATTAGAAGTAACCTATGGAATGAAGAGTCAGCAAAGTGGGGATTGAAAACCACTGATCAAAAACCATGCATGTGTTTTTCCCTTTCCATAAAGAGCATATTGTGCAGTAGGAGCTTCGCTCTGCTCTGCACTGGGGTTTGTTCTATTTACAGTTGTACACAAAGTAATTTCCTCTTCCGTTCCTTCTTCAGAGGCCCTGCACCGCCCTTATGGTTGCGATGTTGAACCCCAGGCACTGAATGAAGCCATCAGATGGAGCTCCAAGGAGAACCTGCTTGGAGCCACTGAGAGCGATCCCAATCTCTTTGTTGCACTTTACGATTTTGTAGCAAGTGGTGACAACACCCTCAGCATCACCAAAGGTAAGGCTGTGAATCACTGAGCAGCTACTATGTTGAAAACTTAGCAACAGAAAACAGAAAGCAGAATCCTGCTCCAGACAGGAATAGGAATGAGTATAGTTACAGATTTTTCTCTGAACTGGTGAGTGTAAGTCTCTCTCACTTGTGTTGGAGAGACACCTGCTGGGCAGTTCTCACAGTGCAGATACAGGTTTGTGTGACACTGCTCAACAGTCTAATCCAGCTGCAGTTATCCCTGTTCTAGTCTCCCCAGATCACTGGCCCTTCGAGACACTTGGCTTAGGGAGGGGCAGAGAAAAACCGTTACATTCTTGATGGTAACAGAACTCAGCACTTTGAACGGAGGCAAAATCAATAATTAAGAATTGCACAGAGATTTTCTGTTTCTGTTCAGTACATATATGAGACTATGACCTGCTGCAGAACCGTTTTAAATCCCATGCTATTTAAAGCTTCAAGAAGGAGACACTCCTCTTCCCTCCATGAAAAATAGTCTTTCTAGTCTAAAAAACTGGACTACAGGGAGCTCTTATTGTTCATCACTCACACTGCAGTAAATTAGGGAACAGTATCCTGGGTGTTCTGCTTGAAACTTTACTTCATAAATACTTTATATACAGCAGTTTATTTATAAGATAGCTGCTGTGGTTTTTTTATTGCTAACTACAAATCCAGGCTTAGTCAGGTGATGGTGAGTTTCTCCCTTAATGAGACCCAATAGATTACACTGTGCTTATTTTCCTTTTTTCTTTCTGGTCATAGGTGAGAAGTTGCGAGTCCTGGGTTACAACCAGAATGGTGAATGGAGTGAGGTACGTTCGAAGAATGGTCAGGGCTGGGTACCAAGCAACTACATCACACCAGTGAACAGCCTGGAAAAGCATTCATGGTACCATGGGCCGGTGTCACGCAGTGCAGCGGAGTATCTCTTGAGCAGTCTCATCAATGGCAGCTTCCTGGTTCGTGAAAGCGAGAGCAGCCCAGGGCAGCTGTCCATCTCGCTCAGGTACGAAGGACGTGTTTACCACTACAGGATCAATACCACCTCAGATGGAAAGGTAAGGATCTCTGGACAATGCTGTGGGGAGAGGAAATAAAAATATAATTAATAGGTGGTACAGAATCGCAAGTTGCAGACTGTTATGGGAGGGCTGTGTGTGGGATAAAACAGTTCCACTGCTTGGTATACATGTTCTTTTGGTATACATGTTCTTTAGTAACTCATCAAACACCACTTTGGAAGAAGTACAGACATCACTTCTCCTGACTGAAGGTAGCTAGAGAGCAGAACAGCTGTGGTTTGATGTTGTGGTATCTTTCCATTGGTTCACTTAGAACAAGAAAAGCTTTGGTAACTCAGTATTTTTAACCTTGATCAAATAGCAGTATGTTGTTTTGGAAGATGCAGAAACAAGCCTTATGCTTCGCTACAGGAATTCCACTTTCTAGTCCTATAGAGCACAAAGCAGGAGACATCACTGCTCTCAGGTGATAGCTTATATCTAGCTGCCTTCTGTAGGTAAAAATCTCACAGATTAATAATTCATTTGCCCAACAAGATGAGAACAAATATTTTAAAATCTGTTTCTCTGAGTTTTATTTTTATTTTAAACATGTTAGAATTTTTTTACTATACTGGTTTTCCAGTGTTACTGAGAACTTTCATTTAAATAGATTCCTGGTTCTTAACAGGTATATGTGACAGCAGAGAGCCGTTTCAGCACTCTAGCAGAGCTGGTGCACCATCACTCAACAGTAGCAGATGGACTGGTGACAACTTTGCATTACCCAGCACCCAAGTGCAATAAGCCCACTGTCTATGGAGTATCCCCCATCCATGACAAGTGGGAGATGGAGCGAACTGATATCACCATGAAGCACAAACTTGGGGGAGGGCAGTATGGTGAGGTGTATGTGGGTGTCTGGAAGAAATACAATCTCACAGTTGCTGTGAAAACATTAAAGGTGAGTTTTCAGATTGTTATGTTCTGTTCATTTATGATAAGGGTAAGGAAATTGTAATGTTCTCAGATTTTACCACTTAATTGTACGAATATCAGAAAATGTTATGTGCTGATCTGCAGAAGCCCCATGCTTGAGAGTAGCTTTGCAGAATAAGGTTAGCTCATCAAACTTGCACCAGTGCATGTGTCTTAGAAACAATTTTGAATTTTGGCCAAGCAAGCACCTGCAGGAACTGCATGTCTGTACAGCTGGTTTCCATGTCCACTTCCCTTGCCTCAGAACAGCTGTGGAAGCTTTAAGAAATCAGAAGTGTTGGAAATATGTTCTACAACTTTTCCTCTACTCCTGGAAAAATTCATCTTCTTCATTTATCTATCTTGTCAAACTCTTCTGTTTGTTTCAATATGAACAGCTACAGTTCTGTGTACTCCCTAAGTAAAGGAGCTTTCAAGCTTAATTTTTGTATCTAGGCAGGGGAACTAAGTGATCCTGAGAGTGTTTCTCTTACCAGCCATAACTGGTTTGGTAGCCACAATAGCTACCAAACAAGAAAGCCTAGCACTTTTTGGGTATTGCAGATCTATCACTTGGCCATGCTGCAGGACAGCCAGGCAGCTTTTCAGGGCTATTAGATTTTATTTTTTTTCTTTAGTTAAAAGCCAAAGCAGCAGAATGGAGACAGGGATGCCATCACTTATATTCAGCTAGGATACATGGTATTAAGCAGACCTTGTTCACGAAGATAATTTTTTCCTTCTTTTGCCTGTCTGTTCGTCTAGGAAGATACCATGGAAGTGGAAGAGTTCTTGAAAGAAGCTGCTGTGATGAAGGAGATCAAGCATCCAAATCTAGTGCAGTTGTTAGGTTAGTGAAAGGCCTTGCTCTTTCTGTTCTTACTTGAGTTTCCACCAGAATGAAATCTGTCTTGTTTAAAAGCAGGGGCAGATTTTCTGTAATTATATAACTTTAAATCAGGTCATGTTATGGGTGGTGGTTTGACAGCTTACTCCTTTAGATGGTATTGAAGCTGAGAGATGCCAATTTTAAATAAAACATCAAATATAGTCGCTTACATTAGTAGACATAAAGGTTTGCAAATTCAGCCTCCTGTTAGTTTGTATTCTTGGCCTTAGACATGTTCCAGGGGTTAAATCAGCTTTACAGAATTATTTTATGATTTATTTTTCTGATAGAACAGAACAAAATTATAAGAAAATTAAAAGTGAAAGAAACAATTTTACTGGAAGCACAACAAATACTGTTCTTCATGCTTTTCAAATTGGAGACATTTCTAGTAAAAGCTGCACTAAACAGAGCAAATTTGTCCACAGTTAAGCCAGAAACAACCAGACTGCTACTGCTGTAAGGGTCCCTGTGTATCACCAAATAAGTACATGAGATTGGGGCACTGGAGATGCAATGCAAGTGAGATCAAACAGTACATGACTAGAAGAAATCTGCAGGCTTTACAGCTTGGTTGAGCCCTGTTTGTTTCAGTGGCAGATGCGTGATATGATGATCACTATTAAATAGTCTGCATAGATGTTAATTCTACATGTACAAAAATTCTTAAGGAGACACCCTAAAATTTTTTATTTGGGTTTAATTGCCTCTGGACTTTCACTACTTTCAGGAGCAAAGTTGTCAAGCCTAGCCGAGGATGAAAGGAGAAATGTGAAGACTGTGAAGGCTTTTAATAATGGCAACTATTCTGTACCCATTTAAAAAATGGGCACAGATGAGGTTTTTGCCCAGCCCTGTCTGGTTCCAGGAGTGGAGACAGAAAACCTTCTCAGCAGAGATGCATTTTTCCTCTTTCAGATGCACAGCATAGTTGTCTTTCACTCCTGTATGTGTGTAATGGTAGGAAGAGGCACACAGCAGTGCTGCAGTGTGAGTTCACAGAGATTTGACATGAGTATCCTGTTGCCCTCCTCCTCCATTAATACATACTTCATACATAATTGCAATAACTGTAGCAAGTAGTCATCTGAAGAATGCTGCTTTAGAAGCAGGTCCCACCATGCTGATCCCAGCTAGCACACATAGGACTGCTTCCCATTACTCTGTAGTGACACTTCAGTCTCAAAATCTTGTCAGTTGATGGGTATTTACTTCCAGTTGGCCATGCTTTAGCTTCATGGAGGGAGAGAGGGGAAGGAAAGCAAATCACACATGTTTAAAATAATTCCTATTTCATTCAGGAGCCCTCCAGAAACAGAACTACTCCTTCATGTATATTGTATAGAAATAGCAGTGCTTTGATAGACATGTTTCTCTATGTCTGTAAGGTGGAGAGACATATAAATAGGCAGAAGCACTAAATTTTAAGTTGGACTGCATTGATTTGGGTCTTGTAGATGGAAGTCTTCACTTTTCAGAGAAACATCAGCACAAAATGTGACAAATGAATATTAAATCAGGAACAGTGGTAAGCTAGGGAAGAAAGGGAAGCTTTATTCACATGCTCTTTCCTCCTCACCGCTAGGTGTATGTACCCTGGAGCCACCTTTTTACATTGTGACAGAATACATGCCATATGGGAACCTGCTAGACTACTTACGGGAGTGCAACCGGGAGGAAGTGAGTGCTGTCGTGCTACTCTACATGGCCACTCAGATCTCTTCTGCTATGGAGTACCTGGAGAAGAAGAATTTCATTCACAGGTGGGTAAAGTCACATTGAGCTGGTACAGTTTCAGATTGCAGTGATGAACAGGCCACCAGCATGGTGGCCCAGAAATTTGTCTTTGGGGGAAAGATTCTTGCAAAGTTAGGTTTCACACTGGCTTACCTATTGGCTGTTTTGGTTTCAGTATAGTCTTTCAGTACTTTCTCCCCATGACTTTCATAGCAGACTGAAAATCTTATGCCTGACAGCTATGAAAGTTGGTGTTGTCCTATTCTGATGTACCCCCTATATGCAAGACATTGTCAACCCCAAGTCTTGTTTTAATCCAGACAGGTAAAGCCACACCATAAAGTTGTTACTGGTGTGGGATGAGCTGCTGATCTCATCCTGTTCTCAGGAAACATAAACTTCTCATTGTAACAGCTGTCATTACTGGAAAGTAATTATTAGAGTTTAAAGAATGAGCCCCAATCCTGACTTATGGCTTCTAAGAAAAAGTTCACTCAGTTTCTGACACTGTTGAGAGCAAGATTCACATTGCCTTTACCTGCTATATAAAGAGAGTGCTTCCTAATTCAGAAGAGAGGGACAGGCTATGCAGACACAAAACTGTATTCAAAAGCCCTGCTCTTGCTTCAGTAGAGGACTGTGCTTTTTCCCTTTGTACAGGGATCTGGCAGCACGGAACTGTTTAGTTGGAGAAAATCACGTTGTGAAGGTGGCTGACTTTGGCTTAAGTCGACTTATGACTGGAGATACCTACACAGCTCACGCTGGAGCCAAGTTCCCAATCAAATGGACGGCTCCTGAGAGTCTGGCCTATAACACCTTTTCAATCAAATCAGATGTGTGGGGTAAGAAAACTCCAGTCTTCTTTTCTCTTTCATTTTGTTTCTCTTTACCAGCGTAGACAGTAACTTGCTTTCTGGCCTAACAGAAGTGTGGGGAGGAGACAGTCACACACCAGGCCACAATAACATTTTTAGCATATAATGTCTTCACCTAGACTGGCCTGAAATAATGTGCAAGAATAATGTTGCCTCAAGCTGCAGTAAAGGCCACAATGTAATGAGCAGCACAAGAGAAGGACAGACTTATGACCAGGAATTCTGTTTTCCTCCTTTTGCAGCTTTTGGGGTGCTGTTATGGGAGATTGCTACCTATGGGATGTCACCATACCCAGGCATTGACCTCTCTCAGGTGTACGATCTGCTGGAAAAGGGCTATCGGATGGAACAACCAGAGGGGTGCCCTCCAAAGGTCTACGAACTGATGAGGGCATGTGAGTAGCTTCTTCCAGTTTGGAGGACAAAACTTGGGAGAGGTGGGAGAAATCTGTAGGTGACTCTGAAGTCCTTTCTTCTTTTGTGCCATTTTGTTGGCTAATGCGGAAAAGGGCCCATCACCTGAGACATACCTGGTTACTGACACAAAATGAGTGTGGTCTTTAGCGAACAAGAATTCATTCCCAGAAACTGTCATTTCTGAATACAGCCAAATACCATTTTGTGGCACATTGTACTGGTATTTTGTCAGTAGGACTTTTACTATGGAATCACTAAATTGGAAGGAAATTTAGTTCTCTGCAAACACAGCACCTGTGCAGGAGACACGTAGTTGACAGAGTTGCTCAAAATACATCCTGCAAGCATGCCATGAAGAGCTCCCTAATGCACCATAACAGATGGAAAAGGTACTAACTAATAGAAGACAAAAAAAATACAGTTTGGTACAGGAAGAGAGCAACAGAGTTTAACAGCATTGCCAATCTCCTTCAGTCCTGCAAGAGCGGGACTCCTTGAGTCCCACAAGAGACTATATTGGGCAAAAGGCTGAAGATCTTAGGGAGCATACCAGGCCATACTGTTGAATCAGGTAAGCAGCTCTGAACAGAGAGACCCTGTCAGTGTGACCTGGGAAAAGACTCCTTGGTGCTAACTCAGGCAATGTCTGTGACCCTCAGTGTTCAGGACAGGCAAAACAGGGTAGAAGAGGCCATTCTACAGCCTGTCTCCAGGGATGCCTGAAGACCTCCCCCCAGCATGTCAGAGAAAGTCAGGGTGAACTTTAGTTATAAAAGGAGGAAGTTGGGTAATGATGAAAGATATTGCTTTAAAAAACTTTCGGGAAGCTGACAAAACCCCCAAAGCAGGTAATTCTTACGATATCAATGCAACTGAAAATGAGCAGAATGACAGTAACTTCCCAGACCCTATAGTGGTATGAACAGATAGTCAGCTGCTTCCAGAATATATTCCCCTTGTGCAGATTTCTAACTACAGAAATTACACTTTTCATCATGATACACTTGTATAATTTTCCAAGATCCATCTCAGATCAATGCACTCTCTTCCTCTTCCACCCACAGGATATATATATTCTCCTTCTGGAAGGCTCTGCCTGAATTTCAGTATTAAGAGCATGTGAGCAGAATGTGCCTGGAGCTTTGCATACACAGTTATCTGTAACTGGGGTAGATGTGCATTCAGTCCAGACAGCCAGGGTAGCAGATGCAGAATTCACTTTTTCCCCAAAAATTTAGAAAAGAGGGATATGGAGACCCCCAAAATTAGTGGAGTTGGCAGAGAGCTGGGATTTTTAATACTGGTTCCTTCCTCTCGAGATTTGGTTAGTTAGGATATGGTAGGGTGACTGACTACTGCTGTGAATTAATTTCTGTGAATGACTCTAAAGCCTATTTAATTGTAGGAGATCAGTCTGACTACAGTTGACAAAGCTTGTGTCTTTTCTTTCTCCTTGCACAGAATAAAATATCTCCTACCTGTTTCAAACACTGAGACTTACTCTGCTTTCTCACAGGCTGGAAGTGGAACCCACCAGACAGACCTTCCTTTGCTGAGACCCACCAGGCTTTTGAAACCATGTTCCACGACTCGAGCATCTCAGAGGGTGAGAGCCCCTGTTGCTTTATTTCTGCAACAGTACTGGAAGTTTCCTTCCAGAGTGCTATGCTTATGGATAGGCCCTTAAGGCTCATCTGCTAGCAGTGGAGGTTGTGGTGAAGCTTCATCCTTTAGTTAATGTCTTAACCATAAGTAGGTAAATAAGTTCTCTTACTTGCCGGACAAATACTGAACAACCTTTAGATGTACAGCAGTGCAGGGGACAGCATAGTTTCATTTGAACACTAAAATGCTGAAGAGTTAATTCAAAAAATATCATATCCTTTATTAGAGAAAGCTTCTTGTTTCCCAAACTGAAGGGTTGGGAATAGTGAGTGATGTTGAGAGAGAGAGATATATGCCTATCACAGTCCTTTGCTGACTGTGGCAATTAGGTCGTGAAATACTCTTCTACCAGCCTTCATTTTTTAAGTTGGCCTTAATCCCTGGATTTTCTATGTAGCTACTTACAGGAGCGAATCTGTACAATTCAACTCTCAAATACAATCCATAGGAGTTAGTTAAGTACTGGTGAGACATGTGATACTGGGCAGCAAACAAGCAGAAGTGTCTGAGCATCTTCTAGATTTTTAAATTAAATACAAAGCTGATCTATCCACTTCCCTACCACAGAAAAAACACACCAGATTGAATTCTACCAGGGTGGATCTATATTAGGCCCATCAAGTGGCCCACAAATGCCAACTTTGGTATGGCCGGGAGGTTGTGGGGGATTTTTTTGGTGGTTTTTTCAATCACATACCTTGTGTTGATGCTGGGAAGCAAACGTGCAGTCTTCATTTCTAATGGGGAGGTGCAGGGCTTTGCTTCAAGCAGAGCAGCTTAGACCAAGATCCACAGAGGACACATCTTTTGGGGGATCCCAGGAGCATCAACAAGAAGCACCTTAATTGAAAACAGAGGCAGTGCTGACTTTACCTGTTGAGCAACCCTTAACCCAGCAAAAAAGTAGATTCATACTAGGCCTTTTGCACAGATCCTACCATTGTTTTGTTTTCCTGAATTCATAAAGATGTTACTGAGTGTGAAAATACTGTGAAAAACAAACATCTTACCCTGAATACCTCTAGACTTGAGCAAAAACTAAATCCATGAACTAGGTTTTTCTCAGTCATTTATTTCTTCTTGCCAGCCTGGGTTTGCAGTAAAGACACAGATTTTCTTTTGCTCTTCCTCTGCAGTCTCTGTTTCAACTATTCCCTTATTGTTTGGTTTGTTTTTTGTTTTCCCTTTCAGAGGTAGCAGAGGAGCTTGGAAGAACAGCCTCCTCCTCATCCATAGTTCCTTACTTGCCCCGGTTGCCCATGCTTCCCTCCAAGACTAGAACACTGAGGAAACAGGCAGAGAACAAGGAGAACATTGAGGGAACGCAGGATACTGTGGAGCACTCAGCTTCCAGTTCAGCACCAGGTATGGGCACTGGGACAGTGCCAGTGAGGCCATGCGTTCTGGGATAAACTTGCTGCTGGTATCAGTGCCAGAGAAACAGAAGAAAACAACAGAAAAAAGCCCAACACAATAGGGCAAGGTGCTTTGTACTGCTGTGTCATCAGGGCTGTCAGCCATTTTGTCAGTCCAGTTATTCACTAGCAAATAGTAAACACTACAGCTTGTTCAATGTTCTTTTAGTAAATGCCACTGTATTTCTTTAGAATTCAGTTTTGCTTTTTTTTAATACAGCTTCAAAACTAAGGTTGACAATGCAGCAACAGATCTTATTTTATACTTGCGGTATTTGGGGAAGGATAAAAAACAAACAGGAAGGGAATAAGAAACCAGGAGAAAAGAGCAACTCCGTCTTTTCCTGACCTTTTTCTTAAGTGGCCTCCTCGGTTTAGACAGGAGACAATGCATGCATGCAGAAGTGGGATAAAAGCAAAAAAATCACACCACCCTTGCACAAAAATAAAAGTGTTAATTTCCTCTCAACCTGTCTCTAAGCAGAACCTGCAGAATCTGGGCAGCTGAATATGCCAGGCCCATAAAGCGCACTGCAGGATAGGGAAGTGAAAATGGGAATTGATTTTGCAGATTCACACTTGTTTCTTCTGTCTAGGTTTTATCAGAAGCACACAGCCAACAAGTGGGTCTCCTGCACTGCCTCGCAAGCAGAGGGACAAGTCACCCAGCAGCCTATTGGAGGATGCCAAAGAAACCACTTTCACCAGGGACAGAAAAGGTGGCTTCTTCAGCTCCTTTATGAAGAAGAGGAATGCTCCCACACCTCCCAAACGCAGCAGTTCCTTCCGGGAGATGGAGAATCAGCCACATAAGAAATATGAGCTGACGGGTAACTTTTCATCTGTTGCTTCCTTGCAGCATGTGGATGGGTTCTCTTTTGCTCCCACACAGCAGGACGCAAGCCTAGCACCACCTAAGTGCTATGGTGGGGGCTTTGTGCAGAGGACCTTCTACAACGATGATGGCACTGGTACCAGCAGTGGTGGGGGTGTAAGCACTGGTGGTGGGTGGTCGGGCATCACTGGTTTCTTTACACCACGCTTGATTAAAAAGACACTGGGTTTACGAGCAGGAAAACCCACTGGCAATGAAGAACCTTCAAAACCTTTTCCAAGGTCAAACTCTACATCTTCCATGTCCTCAGGGCTTCCAGAGCAGGATAGGATGGCAATGACCCTTCCCAGAAATTCCCAGAGGTCAAAACTCCAGCTGGAACGGACAGTGTCCACCTCCTCTCAGCCTGATGAGAGCACGGGGAGGGGCAATGACCTGCTTCCCAAAAGGTTTGAAGAAGGCCCTGCTTTGACCAGAGAGAGACCAAAAGCAAAACTCTTGCCGAGGGGTGCCACAGCACTCCCTTTCCGAAACCCTTCTGCATCGGAAGACAAGGAGGGTCCAGGGCTAGCCGCAGCTCCCAAGGGCAAGGAAAAAAACAGTGGCCCACGGCAAGGGGCCCTTGAGGATGGCGAGAGACCAGGGTGGTCATCTCCAGTAAAGGCTGCAGCAATACTTCCAACCACTCATAACCACAAAGTGCCAGTCCTAATTTCACCCACTCTAAAACACACTCCAGCAGATGTGCAGCTCATTGGCACAGACTCTCAGGGTAATAAATTCAAGCTCTTATCTGAGCATCAGGTCACTTCTTCTGGCGACAGGGACCGTCCCAGACGGGTAAAACCAAAGTGTGCTCCACCTCCACCACCAGTGATGAGGCTCCTACAACAGCCAGCTGCCTGCTCAGATGCAGCAGAAGAGCTGAGCAACGTGGCGGGAGCGCAGCACGGACTGGAATCAAGTGAAGGGAGTAAGAAGGCAGCAGCAGCAGCAGCACCTGTTGGTGGAAAATCTGGGAGGCCTGTGGTGCCTCCGCCTCAAGTGCCTCTGTCATCGTCTTCCACCTCCCCAGTGAAACTGGCCAATGGCACGGCTGGCGCAAAAGTAGCGCTGAGAAAGACCAAACAGGCAGCTGAGAAAATCTCCGCAGACAAAATCAGCAAGGAAGCACTGCTGGAGTGCGCAGATCTTCTCTCGAGTGCCATCGCCGAGCCAACGCCAAACAGCCAGCTGGTGGACACAGGGCACCAGCTGCTGGATTACTGCTCAGGCTACGTGGACTGCATCCCGCATACGCGCAACAAATTTGCCTTCCGGGAAGCCGTGAGCAAACTGGAACTCAGCCTGCAGGAGCTGCAGGTTTCTTCAGCAGCTGCTAGCGTCCCTGGGGCAAACCCCGTCCTTAATAACTTATTGTCATGTGTCCAAGAAATCAGCGATGTGGTGCAAAGGTAGCTACTGTCAATCTGGGTAAGAGAAATACACATGGGGAGGGGGGGACTTTTTTTCTGTACTGATGCTTTCAAAAGGAAAGACTGATACTTGAGTATGTGAAGTACCTCAGATCACTGAGTTCTCCTCACGTTTACAGGTTCATCTCAAAGAATGGGGATGGAGAGGGTAGATTAAAGCTGTAAGGGGCAAAACATCCTGTATTTGTCCCTACCTAGTCAGGCTGATCTGCTTGATATGGCAAGGGAAGGAAGCTCCTTGCTTCTCCCTTGGAGAGGCAGGAGTATTGATGGCAGGTTCTAGCTCTGGAAAGGATGAATTGATGTGTGGTAGCTGGAGTACTGGAGTGGCTGCAGGCCACTTGGCTGTACAGATCCTCCCCTGTCTGTGCCAAAGTATGCTTTGGTCTCCTGACATGGCAAAGTAAAGGAACTGGGGCTCTGTTGGTACCAAGTGCCGAGCAGTCTGAGCTGGAGTAGCCATCAAGAGGGAGGTTACGTGCAGTTGGGAGAAAGGTCTAATGCACTGACAGTATTCAGAGCTGCTGGAGGTGGATGCACTAGCCCAGATGGCTTACTTCCACAGCACTGTTGCTGCTGTAATGAGAACTGCAAAATTAGTTAATATATTAAACTATCTCTTTTCCTTCCTGTCCACCTCATCCACCACATGTTCTCATCTGCGTTGTATCGGAAGCATCAGGGATACTGGGCAGACTTACCACTGGAATACCCCCTTCCCCACCACACAGCCTTGTCTCAGTTGATACTTCTTTCTAGTGGTCTCGCACCAGTGCTGCTTGATGGTCATTTGTGAGTAGTTTGGGGCTCTTGCACAACTTGCCAGTTATTGGGGTGGGTGGTTTTTGTTTGGTTTGCTTTTTTTAAGCTCTAGGTTGTTTCTATCTTGTTACCAGGTTTACTCCCCAATTTAGTTTCATCACCTTGAGGACCCATAGTAGGTAAGGCAGAGCTTCTGCCACCCCTAGCTGTTCTCCACATTCCTCTAGTGGTCACAGTGCTGCGGAGCCAGCTGGAGAGCCAGGAAGTACAGCCTGGCCTGCCCGTTACACACCCTCAGTGCTGTAGGGTTCTCTGGATCTGTCCCTTATCTTGGCCTAATGCTTCATACTGAGGGCTTCCTGAGATTTGTTGTAGTGCTTCCTGGTCTTGCAGGCTTCCAGCTTCCTGGAATGTGAAGGTGACTGTGTATGGCAGTGCAGAGGAGAATCACAGCCATCTTTTTTATTTCTTCCTGTATTTTAAAGGCTAGATCACAATCTTATGCTGTGGCAAAGGGAACACACACATAAACTGCACACTCCCCAGCTTGAGATGCGACAACAAATGTTATAGCTTTGCCTCGGAGCGCTCCCACTGGGTTATGGTTTCTGATGTCTGATGCCTACTAGCAATGAATGCAGTTGTGTGGTTGAAGTTGTCTTCCTTGGTCCTAGTGCTAGTTGTAGACTGTTGTGGCATCAAAAAGCTGGTCTTCTGCCTATACGCACAACTCCCTGAAATGTAAATGTACTGGCAGGTAGGAAGACCTCAACTAATTTGATTTGTGAGAAATGGAAAACAGGTCTGATAGCTGGCTCCAAATACACATTACCCTGCATGCTGCTGCTCACTTCACACTATTGGTGATGATAGAGGATCTCGCTTGCTTTGCACCTTAAATCTTTTCTTTTTTGCTAAAATGCTTTTTTAACTTGTTTTTAAAGTGTGACTGTGCTGCTTGTAGTTTGAGCATTTAGAGTTGAGCTGGGGCACAGGTGTGAATTTACAAGATGGGCACTTCCATTTCTGTCCAGATTCATTGCCCTGTTGGTGCTTGGAAGTAGGCTGGGTTGCCTTGCTGAGCATCCCTGTTTTTTCCATGGAGCATAGCGAGACAGGGGCCGAACAATCTTTAGAAACGATGTCTGAGAATCCTCATTTTATCACTGGTCTGTGGTAGATGAAGTTGTGTCACAATGCATGAATGCACCCCGGTGGAGCAGTATGTGAGGCAGAAAGGACTACATGAGCTTCACTGTTCAAGTAAGTGAAATGGTGAAGAGAGAAGGGAAAAGCAACTCCTCCACCCCGGCTGACGTTAAGGCATTAAGTGACTGAACATCTCAGTTTTACTCCAGTGAGCTGGTACCTAAGTGGAGACAAATCAACGTACAGCGTGGGTTACTCATCCTGACATATACAGTCAGTACCAAGCCTACCCAACAAAACCTGCTGTCTAGTTCTACAGTGGGACCTTTAGTAGGTTGGGGAGGGGTACACCAGGGCTTTCACAGCAATGCTCACCTGTAAGGCAGAGTACCAAACCGTTATCATGTAGACTTTACTGAGGGCTTTTGTGGTTTACCTTATCTCTTTCAGTCATCTTTACTGAAGGTGTGCACACCAAACTAATTGTCTTTGGAAAGCTGACCTGCAAAGGGAAGGCAGCTTGTGATACTGCTTCACATGGCCTTTCAAACAATCAAGAGGATTTAACAGGTATGGGAGCTTTCTTTGGGGCAGAAGGGCAAGTCTTGTTTGCCCTGGCAGACAATCGCATGGTTTCATCATTGTACTACTACTCAGCCTAGGACGAACAGACTGAAACTGAAGTGATTCTCAGGGGAAAGGTATTTTAACCAGAACATTTTAAGGCTGTTAGTCCAGTTCTGATTAGTATTTTGAACGGAGCTTTTTGGTTTTTTTTCCCTGAATGACAGTCTTCCCCCAGCACAAATGACAGAATAGGAAACAATTCCTGGAATGTCTAGCTTCTACAACAACCCTCTGTCAGCCCTTTCTGAAGAAACTAACCGTGCCCCAAGGAAGGACTGTTCCCCTCCACTGATCATCCCCACTTCCTTTCAGATGCCACCTGGTTTATTCTCCCCACAGCAGAGATGATGGGCAGTGGCACTGGGCAGTAGGCAGTAACACAGCTGAAGCAGCCTCTGCTTTTACAGTCACAGAGCAGCTGAGGTGGTAAGGGACCCCTGCCCAAGTGCCTGCTCCAGAAGGAGCCACCTGCCGAGGACCACATCCTGGGCAGGTGGCTCCTGAGTATCTCCAAGGATGGAAACTCCACAACCTCTGTGTGTGACAGAGCCCATTCAGTTCTGATCCCTCCTGTGGTGGAAAAAAACTCTCTGTTCTTACCCCTTGTCTTACATCAGGTGGGTAGATAGTGGCAGAGGTAGTGCTGACTTGACACTAGAGTTATTTCCCCTGAATAGGAGGCTGTAGAATTGCTGCTGATTCTGCTGCCTAACTGTTTTATTCCCAAACTGGAATTTACCCCCTGCCCTCTGGCAGGATAGCAGCAGGATGGTATCTGGAAAGGGTTCTGCTGTAAATTATCGTTCAGTTTTAGTTCCACAGCCACTCACCTAAAATTGTTAAAAGTTCCATCTCCTTTTTGCTAGGTTTGGCTTTTGGCCTTAAAGGTCTCTACAGTGGCAGCTTCTTTGCTGGTTTCAGCCTTGTACAGTACGTTCAAAGTAACGTAGGGATGGTGAAGCCCTGGTATTTGTGTCAGTGTAGAGCACTTCTTGCTCTACTTGTCAGGGTAGGGGACAAGGCATAAACTCCTGTTGTTTCCTTTCCTCACCACTGTCAGAAGGCCTTGTGGGGTAAGGATGTTATTGCAGCTGGGCTCTCTCACTTGCACTAGAACAGGCTAGAGTTTAAAGTAGTCTTCTCTGCAACAGGGGATGGCAGCACGTAGGGCCTGGTAAGCGCCAAGCACAAAGCATGCACTCACATGAGTGAGTTGACGTGGGGCACTTTCTCTTTGTAGCTACTGTGGGGAATTGGCCAGCTCACAGGTGCAATTCTCCTTTCTTCCTGCACTGTACACCCTTTTTAACCCCAGAAGCGGTGCACTTGGCTGTCTGACTGACAGCAACACTTCAGTATAATCATTGTCTTTAGTGTGGACAGAGGTGAAGCTGAATTAAGAGTCTGGGTCTTGGGACTGCATCAAATTTAGCCACTGGGAAAACAGAATAGAATGGAGCATTGCTGCTGATGCAGAACACAATGGGAGAGAGGAAGGCTTCCTGTTCCTGTCCTTCTCATACAGGACATCTCTCCTGAGCACCACTGGCCTTGTATCAGTGAGACAGTCGCACACGTGTGTTGACATCACATCAGGTGTGCTTATGCAAGAGTTTTATGGCACACTGCTCTTTGTGGGCAGTGGGAACTCAACCCCACAGCATGGGACAGCAGCTGCGCCAGAATTGCTGCAGTAACAAAGCAGCCCTCCTTTAAAGGCAGTGGGCACAAAAGCAGGCAGGATGGGCTCCGCTGTGCAGTCATAGCGTAGGAAAATCCAGACCTTGAAGCCTGTTCCATTTATCTAAGACTTTCCCAGCAGCTGAGGCACTCTGCATAGTGCTTGTGGGTGCTCTTGGGCACCAGCAGCTGTGATAAGCACTAATGAATCCAGAAGACTGTTTCTGCAAACAGAACAGGCTGCTTTGTTCTCTTGTAAAACACTGAGCCCTACTCCTAATCAGTGGCTGGCAGGAGAACCCAAGGGTCTTGACTACAGCATGCTTGGAAGCCTCCTGCTTCAGCACGAGTAGGCACCATCTGGCTCAGGTGGACACTGGGGTTGTGCTCTGCTTGCCTGTAGCGTAGAACAAACCTTCAGCCTTGTTCCCTGGTGGTGGAAAGTAAGAGGTTACGGGACACCTGACTTACTGACAATATCTACACATGATAAGAAGTGTCTGTACCAAAGGAGGTCATTCTTCAACTGTGTCTGTTGTGCATGGGAAGTAGAGCCCAGCGGGCTCCGCACGCTCTTTGCATCAGTAGTGAACTCATTGAGGGCAGGAATGGGTTAAAATGAAACACATTAATCACCGATCACTCTACCAGTGTTGTCAACTGTTTTTTGTTTTTATTGTTATTGTAATATGTTTTGGTTGTTTTTCTAATTTAATTCTCTCACTATCGTCTGACTGTGAACTGCGAACAGTGTTAAACTTGATGTAAATAAGGCCCTTTGAAGGGCCTCTTTGCCTGTCGTTCCACAAAGTTTTGCCAATTTGCATTTTGTTTTAAATAAAGGTTGCAATATTTTATTGGCAAAAAAATCGTGGTTTTCCTAAGGAATATTGGAAGCTGCTCAGTACTAACCTGAAGTTTGGTGGTTTGGATAGAAAAGAGAAGATAGTTTAATTCTACCAGATTGCAAAGAAAAGCAGTAGCTTTATTTATGCCTGTAAAATCAAGCTTAGTGTTGCCATGGAGTGATCAGAGGAGAGTGGGTCTCACTATTGGGTACATAATTGCTTACCTCTGAAACATCCCTGTGTGACCTGGCAGAGTGCAGGGCCTTGTGTGGTCAAGTGTGAGAGTTGCCCCCATTAGCAATACCACCAGTAATGGAGTAAGAACTGCTCAACATGCCAGCTTCATGCCACCCCTGCACTGGTGAAACAGCTGCCTGAGAGATTTCCTTCCCCTCCAAGCAGCACCAGCCTAACCTGGGCAGCTGAAGATTCTTTTCTATTAAATTAAAAAAAATATAATCCTAGGTGACCCTGGCTTATACAGCCTTCTAAGCAACTAACTACAGCTAACAACCTCCTCAACTTTCGGCCGACGTTATAAAACACAAACTGAGTTGTGTCCTTCTGTGGGGCTGTGACCTCCCTTCCCCACCTGCCTCTGCCTCTGATGTTTCCACGCTGGAGCTTTAGGCTTGAAACTTGTGATTAAGAAAGAGATTGACCATAAATCAGGTCTCAGAAATGCCTGATAACAGTGCATGCTGGCACAGGCCCTAAGGTCCAGTCCAGAGACAACAGGTAAGTTTAAACTAACTTTGCATCAGCTGAGCAGCTGGCTCATCTTCCTGCTTTGGACTATGAAGCCTCATTAGGTAACAGCCAGCGTGCCCAGAGAGACATACGAACTCAGAGTCTGCAGGACTAGTGTTAGTGTGTCTGGTCAGTCTTTTCCCAGAGGTCGTGCTGCTCATCACTGGCACTACAGGGAGGTTCAAAGCTTAAAATAGAGCAAAGGTCTGCATGCGGGGCGTCCAGGGCGCTAAGCCCTGTCCTTGGCGTGTGCCATTTCACCTCATCACCCAGCACAGCTCTGTTGGAAGGGAGTTTGGACCTAGAGGTCACAGTGATTCTCATAAGACTGTTGAAATTTTTTGGTCCTGCTGCAACATACTTATCACCTGGCAAGTACCCAGACAGCAAACAGGCCCTTAGTGCAGTAATGCTGATATCAGCCAAAAAAACACAGATGCAACATACTGAAAGGCCCTCAAGCTTACTGCATCCCTCAAAACCCAAATTCAGCTGCAGCCCATTCCTTCAGCCACCATCCTCACCAACGGCCCTTTGCCCTTGAAAAGGGAATTAGTCTCCCCTTTTTCATTTTGCAGGGAGGCAAAAAGGCTCTTCACCAAATTGCTTAGAAAAATGATTTCAGCAGAAGGTCACCTCATCCCCACAGCTGCTTCCATACAACAGAAGACTCCAGTGAGAGGGGGACGCTCCAAAGGGAGAGATTTGACATCTCCAGAGGAGATTATTGTCATTTTCTCAATGCAGGGGCCTCCCTGAACAAACCGTGATCCTGGCATGCACGTCCCTGAGCAGCAAAAACCTTCTGAGTGCAGGAGAGCAACAGAGAAAAATACTCAAGCAGAACAGTTCTGTTCAATCTTGTAAACTGACAGAGAAAACTGGAGACAGGGTGAGGACATGGCTTCTGCTGCACTGTCCCAACAGGACCAGTCTTTCCAAGATCTGCCTTCATCACGTAGTAACAAACCAAGGACTTGGACATCCCCACTCCCATAAAGCGTAGCATCTGTCAACATAACCACATCATCACTTCAGGCTACAACCTGCTAAAAGAAGGGACTTAAACACTGGACAGACTTGAGATGCAGCCAAGTGCAGGCTGTCTTGGTGCCCCAAGGCTGGGTGGAGGCGCCTCCTTCCCTGCAAACAGCCCTCCGAGTTACGGAGTTAAGCGTGTGTCCCCATGCGAGGGCATGGCTGGGTAACCTGCCTGCCTGACCTTGTGCAAGAGAGCAGCTCTAGAGTGCAGAACCACCTTCACCACTGGTGTAGTCCCACCTGGGGTTCAAGGAAGGAAGTAATTGATGCGCTGGGATACAGATTTGCAGCCCTGTGCAGAGAAAAGCTTCTCCTCTTTGGGCACAAACACCATCATCCTGGCCACCTCATCGAGTGCTGTCTCTGTGTATGGAAGTCCCCTGGCCAGGAAAGCATCCCGTGCGCAGAGCTTCACGTGGTGGTACTCCAGGGGCAGGAATGGCACGAAGAAATCAATGAGGTTCTCTCTGAGGAGGTGGCTGTGGGCATAACCATTCTCTGTAGCAAAACAAGACAAACAAACTTCAGAAGCTTCACCTGGGAGCTGTCATCTCTCTGCAGGGTCAGGCTTGTCTCTTGGCAGGGGTCTGTCCTGGAGAGACATCCACTTGTAAAGAGCTGTTCAGCACTTAGTCTGAACAGAGAAAGACATTACGGCTTGCCCATCTCAGGCCAAAAGAAGCCTGAATCCCTAGAGAAACCTTGATACTCCTGTACCGTGTTAGGCTGCCATTCACAACACAACCACTTTCAGGGCTGAAGTAGGTAAGAAGGACACACAGCTCCTTCCTCATGTGCCTCATAAGTGGGGCTGTGGTCATGTGGATGAGGGAAGGGGCTCATGCTGCAAATAATCCCAGGGTGGGGTGCTGGAAATAAAGCACGCACACTTCTGCAGCGCAAGGTGGATGGGACTGTGTAAGCAAGGCCCCAAGCCAGTGCAGAGGGGCAGGTTTGCAGGCAGCCTACCCACAGCATCCCACAAGTGAGCCCGGCTCTTACCTGTAGGCTCCTGCAGCTCCATCCGCAGCCGCTGCTCCAGGAGCTCCTTGGAGATCTCCTCCCGTGCCCGGCCAGCTTGCCAGAAGTCCAGGGCTACCTCATTGATGGTGTTGCCGCCGAGATTGCTGTGGACACAGGAGGGAAGTCATTCAACCATGTCCCCTCCAAGATGAACTGCTGAGAGCTGCCAACAGCCTCACCTGCAGAGAGGCCTCAGCAGTTCTCCTAGCAATGAAGGATTTGCTGTGTAGGATCAGCATCTGAAATACTAGCACATGGAGGAGCCAAGTTTCTTCCCAAATTGCCCCTTTCTATAGGCATCCGTACAGCTATCTTCCATCTTGCCAGCTCACAGCCTGGGGCAGCTGCTTTCTCTCCCAGGGTGGGACCAGGAGCCAGTAGAATCCTCCATCTGTCAGTCCCGTGTCCTGCCTGCAATGCCATCATCGACCTCGCAGGTAACACTTGGCTGCACACCAAACCCTCAACAAGCCACCATTGAAAGCCCAAGTTAGAAGGCAGAGCACGTGGTGGGAACCTCACTGGAAGGGAAAGTCCAGGGCAGGGATTCAAATGGCAACCCAGGAGTTGGCAAAGCACCCCCTGCGTGAGGGACAAAACAGTTCCTATGTGAGGACTACTTTGGACACGCAGTGGTGGCAGCTCCATGGTGGGGAGCGGAGGTCCTGACAGCCACTGAGGTTCCCAGAGCAGTCCCTCACCCTGGAAAGCAGATCAAGGGCAGGCAGCCCCCAGAGTGCTGGTGAGAGGTTTGCAACAGCTCAGGCACCAGCCCCAGCACCCCACCACCGGTAAGCTGGCAATACTGGAACCAGCTAACTGCGGAACTGGTATAGGTAGGAGGCAGATAGGCACTGGGACAGACCTTGCACCAGTCTTTTCTCTCATGTCGGAGGCTCTGGACCCACTCCCCAAATGGAGGGGAGGCAACACTAAAAATCCACTACTGTTTCCCACCCCCCTGCTGCCTTGTTAGGGGGGGAAGACAGCTTATACTGATCCTGCTCCCACATCCCATGAGAGAAGCACAGCCTCTTTTGACTGAGGACAGGCAGCCAATCCTCCCTTATCCCCCAAACCTGGCCAAAGCTGCAGGACCAGGCCAGTGTCCAAAGGAGCCCTGGGGCAGAGCCAGCTCTCCTACAAGAGGTCTGTGTCACACTGCCACCAGGTGTGATGAAACCTCCGCTGCTGTGCAAGGCACCCTGCTCTGCTCCGCTTGGTGGCACAAGGGGGCTGATGTCACCCCCAACCTGCATGGCTTGCCAGGTAGGACACAAGGTCAGCTGAGCACAGCCAACACCACATCCACCCTGCCCTGAGCAACAAGGAAGAATCTGCCCCCTCCACCATGGCTCCTGCCAGGAGGCCCACACAGGTAGGACTGAAATACGGTCAGTTCTGCAAACACTGGGCACATACACAGGTCCTCCCTGTGCAGAGAAACTTCCTGGGAACCACCAAACCTGGAGATAAGAACGTTTGCTTGGACAGTGGGGGATGGAAAGCAAACGCTCCGTCCACCTCTAGCCTGTGGGAATGCCTCTTGCCAAGGCCAAGCTAAAGGCTGTAACTCCTCAACTGAAGGGGGCCCAGGACACTTGTCTCTCCTGGCATTTCCCACTGCCTACTTCAGGCACATGCCTTCCTCACATCCCAGTTTTGAGATGTCCCACTTCTCCCTCGTGAAGCATCCCACGTAGGCTTGGGTCAGGGACAGCACTGGGCTGTGCACATGCCAAAGTCCTTTCTCCTCTGGATGGGTAAGGGACCAGCTAAACCACAGGATGAACTGATGCCAGATCAGTCCTCACAGCACAGCAGACCGATGGCACCTCAGCCTGCAGCCACAGCCACACAGTGGGAACTCCCCACCTCCTGCTCCCAACTAACAGGGCCACATTGCACAAGAACTTCCCATCAAGATCTGCTTTGCTCCCTGGAGAATGTGATCTCCCTGCTGAGCTGTGCAGGGTGACACCGTGCTAGCTCTGACTCTCACTGGTTCCTTGTCTCAAAGCCTAGACACAGGATTAGGTTTCCCAGCTAAGCGAGACCTTAGCTCCTCCTGCAAATGCCCCTGAAAATACTCAGGGAGGATGCCCAGCATCAGTAAGCAAAATTGACCATGGAGGCAACTGCCTTTTTCTAGACATTTTTTCCCCTCTCCTGCAGCCTAAGCCCCTCATATCACACACCTCAGGGGATAAACTCCATCTCTTTGATCCTTCCCATCCCTCTGGGGGCCCAGAAATCACCTGAGGAACAGGAAGATGGATCTCCTGTAATCCACCTTGCTCTTGTTGTCATAGTGAGCCATGAAGGGCTTGATGGCATCCAGGAGGCTGAAATGAAGTTTCTCTGCCTCATCGAAGATGAACAGGGGCTGCTTGCAGCTCTGCGCAGTCTCACTGATCTGATTCTTCAGCTGAGCCTGTGGAGCAGCAGGGAGGAGCATGAGAAGCCCAGCAGCAGTCAGTGCCACCGGAGCACTATGAAGGGGCTAAGCTGCAATGTCATGGGTTAACCCCGGCTGGAAGCCACTTGCTTATTCTCTCCCATCCAGCCAGACAGGGCAAAGAACAGGAAGAGCAAAAGTAAGAGAAAAAGTGAGTCACGATAGTTTAGTAAGTGAAGGAAAGAGGAAGAAGAAATAAAGAAATCAAAGCAAGTGATGCAAAGGCATCCACTCACACCTACCACTAACAGACTGATGCCCAGCCAGGCTCCGGGCACTGGCTTCCTACCCCAAAACCTCCTCTGTTCAGTTTTTATTGCTGAGCACCACAGTAAATAGCATGGAACATCCCTCTGGTCAGTTGGGGTCAGCTGTCTGGCATGACCCCTCCCAACTCCTTGTGCACTCCCAACCGACTGTGGGGGCCAGACTGGGAGGAGAAGGCTCTGAGGCTGCGCAAGCACTGCTCACTGGTGTGTTATCAACACTGTTTCACTCATAAATCCAAAACACAGCTCCATTATGGGCTGCTGTGAAGAAAATGAACTCCATCCCATCCAGACCCAGTACACTGGGCCATCCCACAGCAGCACAGTGTTGTTGGTTCTCACCTTGTACGAATCCACATACATGTGATGGGGGAAGTGGAAGAGCGAGATGAACAGCCTGACACACTCGCTCTTCAGCCCATCCCGGTACAGGTGACTGGCCACCATCCGAGCCACAAAGTTCTTGCCTGTGCCAGACCAACCATGGAAGGAGAGGACCAGAGCCTTCTCTGGCTGTGGGGTCTGCACGAACCCTTGCACTGCCTGGATGACCACTTCTTTGGCCAAGTGTTGCCCATGGAGCTGCCCGCTGAGGTCTGCTGCTAGCCCTGCAGGAGAGAGCAAAAGCTCAGCCTGAAATTGCAAGCCCAGCTGCTGCTGCAGGTGAGAATAAGAGGAGAAAATGTGGCAGGGCACGAGGCCCACCCAGCCCTGCTGGTGGGACTGTCTGAGAGGAGGCTGAAGTGGTGTTATACCCCCAGGGTCAATGAGACAGGCTGCCGGTACCCTGCCTGCATCAGCCACTGACCACAAAAAGATGCAGATATTCCACTGACTCCTTTTTTTCCTTCGGGAAGCAGAGGAGGTATTTGACAATTGCAGGGAACACTTTAATTCAAAGACCCTCGTGAGCTCCCAGCAGAGATTACGGATACCAGAAGTCTAAGGACCAGCAAAATGCAATGACACCAGTGCAGGCTTTACATGCAGGTCTCTGTGTACCTTCCTGACCTGGGGCTGGATGTTGGGCCAATTTGGATCCCACTGTGCATGCCTGAGGGCTACCTGATGAAGGCAGGGCTCATGGCAAACTGGAGCAGATAATGCTGTACAGTAAGGAACAAACTCTCTTGCAGTTTCAGAACTATAAATGAATAATGGGAACCAGGATTTAGCTCAACCCCTCGCCCTCCCACCAGCTCAGCCCCTGCTCAGAAATGCCCTTTACTCACCTCAAGCCCTTGACAAAATACACTTTTTTTTTCTTTTTAAAGAAACCCACAAACAATCAACAAGAGACGAGGGAGAGGCAGCAGAGACAAGCACTGCCTGGGCTCTCCCAGATCCAGCACAGCACCTACCTGTGATATTGTTGACTACCCTGCAGTCTCCCGTCTGGCAGCACTCGCTGAAGCTGCAGTACCAGGCAGAGAGGATCTCCAGGTAACCCTGTCCCACCAGAGGCAGGCCCCAGCCTGGAAAAGCAGCAGTCTGAGCAGAGGTGTTCCAGCAAGTTTGGGTTTTTCTGGGTTTGGTGTGGACGCTCAGCCCGGTTAATGGCAGCTCTCCTCCTGGGTGCGGGGACTCAGGCACTGCCCACCAGCAGCCCAGCTGGCTGGAGGGGAATAAGCAGGCAGCAGCTGGCTCGGGTGGGCGCAGTGAGACACAGCAGGGGAAAGCATGACAGTGACGTTTGTGGCAACCCAGGGTGTGCCGAGGGAGGTGCCAGGGTACTGAGCGACCCTGGGGAAAGGCGGCGTCCACAGGAGCTGGGGGAAGCAAGGTGATGGACCTTGCTGTTTCTGGGGTATGGGAGAGAAAGGAGGCAGGTGCTTACCTGGGCTGGGACCGGACTCTTCCTCCTCCTCCTCTTCACAGCCCTCCTGCCACACTTTGCATGTCAGGTACTGCCAGTACTGCTTGGAGAGAGCACCCACAGCTCCCAAATGCTTCTTGACGGCTTCGTACCTTGCCCCGCTCCACGGTTCCCCCTCTGCCATGGGGCCCTGCTCCTCTTCCCACGGCCACCGCGTCGTCCCTCGGCTGCCCAGGCCTCTCGAGCCCCGCAGCAGCAGCAGGGAGCAGGCCAGCCCCAGGAGAGCCGGGAGCCTGCCCCGGCCCATGGCGGTGGGTCGGGTGTCCCCAACAGGCTGCGGACAGCCCCGTCCCGGCTCTGCTGGGTGTCTGCAGGCTCCCTGCCTCCCTTAAACAGCCTGAGCCGTGATCTCACTTCCTGGCCGCCTGCGATTGGAGTCGCTGGAGAAAAGCGGTGCGGTGGTGTCAGCGCCGCGCACACATCGGCTCGCTCCTGTCCCGTGAGTGGGGCCTCCACCGGCTCGGCACGGATCCTGCCTGCGCTACCCTGCAAAACCCAGCCCTGCTCCTGGAAGAAGGCGCCAGGCACCGCTCGGGTCTGTATTCCCCACTGCTTCCCGGGTCCTGCCGGGAGGGGAGGCGAGAGGCTTCTCTTCCAGCCGGGCTGGAGAGGTGCCTAAGGAAGCTCCCGACACCACTGCCAGCCTTCCCGGAGCTGCACCACCGCAGCCCTCCCTCCGGCCTCCGCACCGCGGCACCAGCGACAAATGCCTGGGGAAGGCAAATAATCTGGGGTTTTTCAGGTCAGGGGCTCGGCTGAAATTTTGCTGCCGCAAATGCAGAAGGCATCAGCAGTTGTTCATCAGCGTCCTTTCCAAAGGACACGGAAATTACAGCCATAAACAAGGGAGCAGAAGGCAGTGGATGAGCCACACCAGCAACAGAGGGAGCTGCACCACCGTGTCTGGGGTTGGTTTGCTGCCTTCTGTGCTGTGAGTTCAGTGGTTAGATCAAAGCTCCAAGACAAATGGTTTTGTTGCTGGCTCTGGGGCAGGTTTGCTGTCTGACACTGGATGCACGTCCTTCCTCATCAACCCCAAGAAATGCTGCTGTTTACTTCTACATCGATGCATCTTCATCCACCAGTTTATCTAAATACTAAGACAAGGTATGGTGGCCTCCGCTCCTCACACCGCCAGGAAAAGGTATAATTCAGATCAGGACAGAACCACCATGAAATCGTGTATGAGAACTGAGGTACAACTCATTACCACTACTGAGCTCACCTTCACCAATCCCTTTTCTTCAGAAAGCTGTAAACCCTCTCCTGGAGAGTGAAGCAGCACGCACAGTCATTAGGGCTGGCTGCCTGTGCTTTGGCAGGAGATTCTAGGATCCCAGGCAAAGCCTGGCTTTTGGAAACAGGTATGCACACAAACTCAGCTGGGGGTAGGGGGTTTAAAGTGGGTAAGCTCCACACAACTTGGATCTTACTTTAAGCTGTAGCCACCACTGGCATACTGTAAGAGACTAACACCTGTACAAGTTACTGAGCATCAGGGCAAGTCCACCCACAACTTACGCTATCCGAGATGAGGCCGAGATGCTTTGGACATGAGAAAGAATTCCAAGGGTCAGAAAAATAAAAATAAGAAGGATACCAAGTGCACCTGATCCAGCCTGACGAGATTCTCTTGTTCAGGTGGATGGGGAGCGAGTGGGATCCAGCACCGCCAAGTCATGGAGTGGAGCATATCACCATCTACAGGTATCTATAAATATTACACATTTTCATTAAAGATACCGGTATTAACATTATTGTCCCCCTCCAGCTTCAAAAATAGTGAGGCTAAAACCTTAGCAGCAGTTGCAATAACTTAAACTAAAAACATACACATTAAAAAAATCAACTAAAATCGAACTCACTGTAGCCATAACAAATTAAACTATCAGCCTTTTGAAAACTAGCTAAAGCATCTGAATTGAAGCATTTCCTCAGGGAGGAAATCATCCCCGTAGACTGGAAAGCAGGCAGCAGGAGGCTGGAAGAGATCCTAGTGCACTACACTGAAGAGAACTTGCCCATACCTGACTTGGGAAGGATGGGGATAGGAGGCACAGACGGTACTGCCCTAGGAGAGCTTGTTGGGATTCTCTCTCTCCCCCCACGCCCTTCCCCCCCTTTATTTTTACTTCCTGTGCTGGAACATTCACTAGAGTATTTGCTAACCTTCAGCTAACAGTCTTGCAGGAGGAGGTACTGCAGGACTCTGCATGGCCCCAGAGATGATCACAGAATCATAGAATGGCTTGGGTTAGAAGGGACCATTAGAAGACCCCTTCTAATGCAGAGCTTTTCACCTCATGGCTGGTTATTCCAAAGGAGTCCTGGCGAGCAGAAATCACCTCATTAAAAATCCAGATCTTAGGTCAAGTCAGGCCTTACAGTGCAGGGATCCTCTCAAAACAGATTAAAAACAGCACCATAAAAATGTGATTATGCCTGCCTTATTTAGCACCCCTAATGCAACTCAGGACAAGCAAATACTCAGAAGGAACCCTGCAATCCAGGATTTTATACTACAGGCTTTATCCCCTGGATGGGGAAATGCCATGCTTCCATCCTTTTAGGGTTTTTCAACTTTCCATACAGCAATTCATTCTGCACATCCATAGATGAACTCTGAAAGAAGGCAGGAGGAAGAGAAAAGTCTCTGCAGAGTGCAGTATTACAGAGCAATGAATTAGATCACTAAAAAATAAGATCTGGAATAAAGGGTATAAGGGGAATCCTTTGCCCTCCTACCTTTAGTTCTCCCCTTGAAGCCCTGTCCCCAGTCTCTTAAAAATATTGAGACTCCACAAGATAAAAGCAGAGCACCAGTCCCACACCTGGGGTGTATTAACTAAGATCTTATTTTAATTTCTAATATTTAGAAACAAAAATTTGGAGGGAAAGAATTTGAAAGAAATTCAGGGAAAGTGCTGATTTTCAAGCCCCTTTGATTCTGCCATTGGCTCAAAGTTGTTTCTGTTCATTCTTCTGTAAAATTATTTTCACTACGTAATCAGAAACACATTAAAATCTTTCAGTTACATGAATTCTCACCGTTACTAGGGCCAACCACTCCAAAATTACATAGCAGTAGGACAACAAAGCGCTTGTAAGAACAGCTCTCCAAACTAGCGATTTCAGCCTTTCAAAACTCAAAAGCATCTGTAATTCTGCAAGTTGTTGAACTGCTAATACACAGGCAAGAGTCCTGTCCTGCTCCTGAGCAGACTGCACCTCAAAAATAGAGATGGAGGATACGAAAAATTAGTGTCACCACACAATGCTAGGAGACAAAAAAAGAAAAAACAACCCCAGAATATCCACCCCCCAAAATCCCCAAAACAAAACCTCCAAACAATTCTTAGAAAACTCAGCAATGCTGAAGTTGAAAGTTTCAGCTGAGAAAGCCTAGTTTAAAAAACAGCAGGTGCCTTTGGTTGTTTCACAACATGATGCTGGTGCTACAGGCCAGGTCAAAGGCTGTCCCTGCCCTTCCAGGAGTGGCACAGTGCTTTGGCTGTTTTGGGGTGTCCTGTTCCCAAGAGCTGTACGGGGACTGGCAGCAGCTCACGCAGCCCTCAGAAGTACAGAGCAGCTCTCGGTGGCTTCTTTGCCTTCCAGATGTCTGACATTCAGAACTGTGAGCATCACCTCTTACCTCTGAAGAACTCACTGCAAGGGGTTATTACAAAAACAATCTCCAATACAGCCAGATTAAACCCCTGCACTCTGTGGGAACAGATTTTGATGCCTGTTTACTTGCCCCATCTTACAAAAAGCTTAGAAAAGCTAGCCATGAACACCTGCCAACTCTACATGCATCTCTTGCTCCACAAAAGAAAGCCAGCCTACTAGGACACAACCAAGAGATCAGCCTAGGTGCCTGGCAGAGCCAGGCCACAGGATGCACTTTCAAAAGCTGTCTTTTGAAAGAAGACCATTTAAAGCTAGGTGTGTTCTGCTCACACAGAACAGAACACATCTGTTTAAACACATCTTTCCTTACCAGCAAGACTCTTGCAAACAACCTGGACATTTGACCCCATTCCTGGATATACATGACTGGAATAAATGCCACTCATAACTATTAGTGAAGGAATAACTGAAACAGCGGTAGCAAAACGCTCTGAACAGTCAGCCCAATAAATGTCGGACCGAAAGAAAGAGAGAGACTTAAACAATCCATCAATGTTGCTTTATTAAAATCTTTATTCACACAATGTCGCTTTATGTGGAATGTGACCCTGGGGGATACAAGTAGAAAGTCACGATTGCATTGTTTTCTTATTAGCAACCTCCATTTCTGCAGCTGCTCCCAGGGGCAATCCTCTGACAGCTCCAAGAGGGGTGTCTGTTTTGAGCATCTTGCTCCAGCCGCCACAGCAAATAAATTACCTTCTTAATAAATTAGTATTTTTTCAGTTGAAGTTTGTTTGGCATGACACACTCCAGTTCATTAGCTGCTGGAAGAGGAGCAGGCTTCCGCATCTCCTCCAGCCTGAATGCTGACTTCGTAAGGAGGAGATAAATAGCAGATGGCTGATGATGCTCTCTTTTTAATTAGTTCTTGATTTCTGTGCTTCAAGCGCTCCTATATTACTAATATCCACAACACAATCATTTTGTAACATCTGGAGCCAGCGGATGACAGTGTGCACAGTGAACAAGAATTAGAAGGTGTCATGAAAACCTCATCAACAGAGCATAGCACCTGCCTCACAAATGACACTTTTTCAGAGATTCAAGCAGACCCTTTTTTCCCATGTGGACGCTGCTTCTTATTTCTCAGGGTTCTGTATTTGAACAAATCACTGCCAAAATGCCAGAGATTATCACAAGGCTAAAATCAGATCTTCCTGATTCTGGGTAAGAGAGGAATTTATTCTTCTTTCCTGCTTCAGAACACCATTCTCCAGTGATGTTTACAGGGGCCAGAAGCATCAATATGACAAAAAAAAAGAAAAAAAAAGAAAAAAAGCAACCATTTCTTGCTTCCTCCTACTGATGATGCCGGACTTCACGCCCTTTGTTCAAGTAAACCAACACACTGCTTTAAATCTTTGACATTCATACTGGGGATAAACTTATCCCCAGGTTCCATCTAACAGCAATAGCTTCAGCTTAGAGCCCTGTGAAGAAACAATACGTAAGTCCTGAACACCAATTTAATTTCATAAAGACAGAAAGACTTTTTTTGGAATCCCTTATTAAATCAAATGTAAATGATCAAGAGTGATCACACAGAAATCAAAACATCAAATTTTGGTAGATCTTTTCCAAAATATTAAGTGCTCATGATTAAGCTCAAAGAGAAGAACATACT